GGTGCCCTGGCCAGCCTTACCTTCCAGTCATGGCTGTTCTCCACGGCGTAGCGGACCTGGTAGTCCAGCTGCTCTGCCAGCACCTCCAGGGGTGGGAGCCACTGCAGGCTCAGACGGCCCTGTGACACTGTCGCCTGCACGAGCTGTGGGGCGTCTGTGAGCACTGTTGGTGTTGGGGACGGGGATGTGTCTCTGCCACGGAATGGGACATGGGACGCTGTGTCCCCTGAGCTGGGCATGGGCAAGGGCAGTGGCCATCGTGGCACTGGGACTTACCAGCCTGGTGCAGCCAGAAGGGCTCCTTGAAGAAGCTGAGCGTGGGCAGCATCTGGGCCCCGGTGATGTTCACCAGGACAGAGATGGCACTGCCAGCCCTGGGCTGGAAGGTGCAGATGTGGGTGCCCTGTGGCCCCATGCTCACCTCCTTGCACTGCTGCCATGCAGCTTCCCTGTGTGAGGAGTGGGGAGCCAGTCAGTCCCACCATGGCATCCCCACAGCCAGTGCAGCCTTGCTCCTCCTGCACTTGCCTAGGAGAGCTACTGCTGCCTGTAGTCAGAGGTGCAGTGTGTCCAGGAAAGGTGGTGGCGAGGTACGAGGTTGATGGTGGTAGGGCAGGGCAGAGCAGGGCATGGGCAGGTGGCACAGTGTGGGATGATGGGACACAGCAGGACCAGTGGTGCCTGGGATGTGCCAGCCTGAGTGCCCACCATGCCCACATGCCCACCATGCCCCTTACCTTGTGCCAGCCCCGCTTGGAGGTGGCCGGTAGAAGAGCTGGTGGGAACTGCGGGGCTCTGCGGGGTCCCAGGTCCACTCGCAGCGCACATTCTGCAGGTCAGGGGTGCTGCAGCACAGCCCGATGTCTCCTGGGCAGGCGAGAGCCAGGACAGAGAGGGGGCTGCTTCCCCTTGGCCCCCCAAAACTTGGGTGCTGCACCTCGCCTACCCCAGGCCCCCCACCCCTTGCAGCCCCAGGCATGGGTGCCTCCCTGCTGTTCCTGCCAGCACGCCGGCAGAGGGGGTGGCTGCTCACCGGAGGAGCGAGGTGTCTCCGCAGCCACTGACTGCGACCAGGGCCCCCAGACGCCATCCATGGAGGTGCCGTCGGGCTTGCTGCGCACCTGGATGTGGTACCTCACCCCTGGCTGCAGGTCCTGAAGCACCACCCAGGTGTTGGCCTGGACCAGCCCCTGCAGGAGAGGGGCCGGGCTGAGGAGCAGCTGCAGCCCCCAAATCCCCCTGCCCATCCCTGACCTGTCTGTGTACCTGCCCCACTCCTGGGAAGGCTGTGGCTGCCCTGGCCCTGGGTGTTTGGGTGCTGACAGTTGACTGGATGGAGGGGTCCCCAGGGTGCTCCCCACTGGTGTTCCATGTGTTGCTGCAGGGCATCCCTGGGGAGTTGGCAGGGCAGCACTGCACCTCGTAGAGGAAGAAGTTTGGGTAGTCGGCGAGCGGTGGCTGCCACGACACGCAGAGCTGCCCTGCAGCCCCAGCCCAGCGGGCCGTGATGTTCACTGGAGGGGCGATGAGACCTGCAAGGAACATGCCAGTGTGTTTGCCTTCCTGCCGCAGTCCCTGCCTGGGCAACCCCTGGTCCTGCTGGGGGACACTTGGAGGCCCCTCCAAGGCTGTCTCTGTGCCCACCATGCAGGACACATGGTGTTGTCAGCCCCCGTGGTGAGCAGAAGGTCAGGGCACTCAGGTCTGGGGACTGTCCTGGTGTCACAGGGTATTACCAAGTAAGAGGGACTCACCCACCGCATCCACGCTGAGCTCCCGCCAGTACTTTGTCTGGTTTGTGGTGGCATCCAGGACGCGGAGGTGGAGCTGGGTGAAGAGCCGCACGTCCTGGCTGGGGAAGACGCAGACGTGCCGCTTCCCGCCAGCCCCTCGGTGCCATGTGGAGACCACGCATGCTGTGGGCATATCCCTGAGGAATGGAGAGCGGGGTCTTGCAGCATATGCCTCCTGCCTCGGGTCAATCTGGAGGAAAGGGGATGTGGGGCACAGCACCGAGACCTCAGTGTCACCAGCTCCTTTCCTGTGCCACCACCCACTGCAGGACACCATCCCCATGGCACTGAGGGACAGCCAGTGTCCCAGCCCTGCTGCAGGGTGTGCAGTGGCTGCTGTGTAGCTTCTGTGGGCTCTCCACCATCTCTCTTTGCAACTGGGAGCCCACTGGGATGGCACAGATTGCTGTGGCACCCCGACTCTGCTGCTCTCTGTGCAGGCAAAGGGGAGGCTGGGCTGTGTCCCCACCACCTCCTACCTGCTATACCAGTAGTAGAAGTGGCACATTCCACTTGTTGCCTCCTCCTCCTCGTTCCAGAAGCAGGTGAGGTCCTCGAAGGAGCGGGAGAAACACAGGATGTCCTCGGACACCCCTGCCAGCAGTGCAGCGTCTGGGAGGAGTGTGGGCATGAGGAAGCCCCTGGGCACAAACCCGTCCCCATCCCACCTGCATCCTCCTGCCCCATGCCTGCTGGCCAGCTCACCCCTGAGGCCAGGCTGTGTAGGCACCCGGGGCAGCCTGGGCATGGCCGTGGCACAGGTGCCTCCGCCAGCTTGGCACGGCGGGGAGGGATGTGGCACACGTGCTGGCTGCTGGCTGGCCCTGGGGTCCTGGCTGTGGCAGGGCTCCTCACCCCCTCACCACCACTCCCCCCTCCTCAGTACGGGGGTCCTTCAGGAGAAACAAACATCCCGAAATAGCCCTGCGGTCGGAGGGGGGCTCAGGGCCCAGCGATCAGGGGGAAGCACCCCTGCCCTGCTCATGCCGGAAGGTGCACGGAAGTGAGATAAGGAGGAGCAGCACCCCAGGGAGAGGGAAAGGGCCTTGGGGCTGGCGTGGGGGCGTGTGGTCCTGAGCAGAGGGGGATGCCCAAACCCTGGCCCAGGGACTGCAGGGGGCTGTGGGTTTCTCTGCCCCCCTCAGCAAGCCGCCCTCCCTGTAGTTGCGTGGATGAACTGGAGCATCACATCCTGCAGGATTTCTGTCCCAGACACTGGTGGCTTTGCTGGCCTATGGGCCCCTGCCCCTCTTGTCGTGGAAAAGAGGACAGCCCTAAGATGCAGATGTGTGAGGCACAGGGGTGGTCTCGCTGCCCTCAGAGCTACTCCAGCACTCCTTTCTCCCCCACTGCCTCTGTCCTGAGACCTGTCCAGCCCTCTTCCTCCTTGTCTTCCTCCTGGCCTTCCTCAGGGGCTGTCCCCAGCTATGGGACCCATCAAGCCCCCTGCCAGTACCTGGCTCTGCTCCCTGTGCTGAGTGCATCCACACTCTGCTGTGCACCCTCTACACTGCCAGTTGAGTCCACTCTGGGCCAAGAATAAGTGACAGTCCCCAAATGTCCCTGCCACCTTCTTAGTGTCCTTCTGCTCTTCCTGTCTCTGCTCTTGCCCTGACCCCCCAGCCTTGTTCCTCATTTCCCAGCCTTGTGTTGCCTTCCTCCCCCTGCCCATTGTCCCATCTACCCCACAGCCCCCCACCTGTTCATCTCTTTTTGCCCCCCATTTCCCACCCCAGGCCTCATGCTGGCTCCATGTTTCCCCCCCCAGCTCTGAGCACCAGGGGATAAGGTGGCCAGGTCCCAGCAGCTCAGTGACACAGGGACCCATGGCATTGGTCCTGTGGGCTACCAGAGCATCTTTGCTGCACACAGGCCATGTCCTAGGAATAGTGGCCACCTAGCTCTGGAGCCCACACCAGCCGTGCTCGGGCACTGCTCCCAAACTCGGGCTCAGGGCATGGGGATGTCACCAAGGCTGTGGGCAGAGAGGATGAGCCCAACTCTGACCCTCCTCCCACTGTCCCTATGGGGGTGACTGTAAATGTGCTCTGAAGGCCACCCTGGCCAGACACCCAGGGTGAGTCTGGAGAGATGAGCAGGAGATCAACAGGACTTTGTTTGGTTAATGCTTTTAATGGTGTTACAGAAAGTGTTAAAGGGGCTAAAGAGGGGCTCAGAGAAAGCGTGAGCAGCCCTGAAATGTGACAAAGTCGTGAAGTGGCTCTGCCAGGTGCAGTGAGCCAGACTGGAGCCTGGTTGAGGATGCTTGGCAGAGCAAGATCATGGCAAGGCTGGTGCAGGAGCACTGGGATTAGCCTGGCAGTGCCACTGCATTACTTGTGGTGCAGAGCTGAGCCGAGAGGTGTTAACTTGAATTTCGCTCAAACCCTCATCATAATTACAGGAACTTTTGAGGGGCAGGGAGCCCCTCTGCTACCTGTGTGGGACTGGGAGCACCAACCTGACATCCTCAAGAGGCCCTGGGGCTACCAGGTCCTGCTTGCAGAGGGCAGGGATGTTCCTTTACTCTGAGCACCTCAGGGTGTCCCACAGGTGAGAAGGGCACTCCACTGCCCACCCCAAACACCCCCTGCAGACCCTCCTGGGATGCCCCTTCCCAATCTTGCAGATTTTGGCTGCTGTGAGGTGCTCACTGCCCACACCTGACATGCCAGCTCTTCTCTGGCCCATCCTTTAGGGGAGGAAATATCCCCAAGGACCTACCTTGGGATGTCACTGGCTCGGGGGCTGGCGATGGGCTGCAGAGGCTGAGCAGGATGGCCGGGATCAGCGAGAGCAGCCAGCCCCAGCACAGGCAGGCTGCCATCCTGCAACCCCCGTGCCGGGGCCCTTCCCAGCGCCCTGGGAGCTGCTGTGGCTCCTCCAGGCGATACTTTTTATCTGGGAAGTGGTGGTTGTGCAGCTCAGGAAGCCTAGCTGGGGGCTCCCCCCACCTCATCGCCAGCACTTCCCTGTGCCCGAAACCACCATGCCGCAGCCCCTCTGCCGCCAGCCGCAGTGCCAAGGGAGGCTGCTCCTATCAGATAGGCGGCATGTCCTGCCCTTGTGGCTACCGGCACGCCGGGGGGCTGGGGTAGGAAGAAAAACAACCCCGGAGAAACCAGGGAGGCCCCTGCGTGGGGCAGGGCAGGCTGTCGGGGGCTGCTGCCATATGGGAGCATGGGACATGGAACACTGCTCTGGCTCCGCCCTGTCCTGTGCCACCTGGAGTCTGGCGTGCCCTGGGTCTGCTCTGCCTCCGGCCCCGTGGCTGTGCCGGGAGGGGAGCTGCAGGCACGGGGGGCACTGGCAGAGCCCGCACAGTTGCTGGTGGTGCTGGTGCAGGAGCAGGGCCACCATGGGGGGTCCCATAGTCACGCTTAGCCTCATGCCAATCCACCACTGCTGCCTGGCACGAGTGGCCAGAGGGTCTCCCACCCTACCAGGGCACAGCACAGTGGCACAGCCTGGGGGGCACCAGCCAGGGCACAACAAGCCACTTATACACGTGTCCTCACCATGCCAAGGCCGAGTTGGCTTCTCCTTGCCCAGCAGCTGGGGCCAGCACTGCAGGCGCTGAGCAGCCGGCACCAACCTGCCACAGCCAAATTTTGTCAAATCAGCCCCACTTCCTTTTCCATTTGGCTACTGGGCTGTGCCATCAGGGAAGCAAAAAGGAGAAAGGCCTTGATGTGAGCAGGACTAATGACACTACCTCTGCTCAGCTGGGAGCAGAGGAGGTGCAGGGGCAGTGGCACATGTCAGGCTGTCTGTGAGGGCCAGTCCCCATCACTGGTTCACTGGGGACCTCGGGGGTGGGGCAGAGAGGCTGTTCACTAACAGTTGCAGTTAACACCAAAGAGCACTGGAGGCCAGAATGGAAAATCAGAATGGTGTTGACAGGGTTCAAAGACCTTCTGGGGATAAAAGACTCTTGCCCAGAAGGGCAAGTGCAAATGCTCCTGCCTCTGGCTGGGTTACCGGGCTCTGCAGGAGCCGCTCTTGCTTCTCATGGGACTGCAGAAGATGGATAGTCATGCTCAGGGCTGAGCAAGCTGAAGCCAAGAGAGGTGAAGCCCACCCAGTGTCAGTGTAACAAACAGCAGCAGTGCAGCTGAAGGAGCACAGCCCAGGACAGGCACTCCTGTGGGAGGGTGAGCACAGAGCCCAGGTGATCCATGAGGGACAGGCACAAGGGAATCACCCCTGTAGCACGTGTTGTGACAGGTTGGTCGAACACGGCAGGCCCTTTGCAAGATGTGAGAAGTCACCTGCTGGCTCAGCACGGTGCTAGGCAGGGTGGGAAGGCTGCGGAGCTGCACAGCCCCGCTGGGGCCAGCCAGAGGAGCGGGACCATCCCTGTGAGGAGCAGCCAACCAAGGGGAAACTGCAGGAACAATTTTCAAGCATGCAAGAGGCGGATGTGCAAAGGAAGGACATAATCTGTTCTCCATATCCCTTGGGGACAGGACCAAATCTTAAATTGTGTGTGGGAGCGAACATGTCAGTTGGATCCTAAGAAAACCCATCTCCATGGCATGATGTGACCATGGCCTTTCCTGGGGATCATCAGAGGACTCCAGTGGGGACAGGTTTCTGAGGAGTGCCCACCACAGCAGCAGTGCTGTCAGCAGGGTAGAGCTGGGTGTCTCCCCCCCACTCCTCTGGACTCAGGTGCCTGTTGCATGATGTTTATTGTCCATAAGGCAGAGCTGACACCTCCAAAGGGTCACTGCAGAGCTGGAGGCTGTGCACAGCCAAAGTCATCCCTTTGCACCTGCCAGGGTGGCCCCCATCCCACACCATCAGGGATGCTCACAGCCCTGCTGGCACCACTTCAGGCCCAGAGCACACTGAGAGTTGCAGGGCAGGCAGATGCTGGGTTGCTGCTTCCCCCTCTTGCCCCAAAGCTTGAGCATTTGTGTCCATGGGCTCAGGCTCCTGAGAGCCCCTCTCCTGGCCAATGTGCTGCAAGCACCATGCTGCTGTTTGTCCTTGGGGGCCATCCCAGCACGACCCCAGCGGCATGGGGCTGCGTTGGTGGCTGATGCCATGGCAGTGTGGCCAGCACACGCTGCGTGGGCAGCCAGGGAGGGGATGGCAGAGTCCTGCTGCAAGGAGGGTGCTCTTGGAAGGGGCACCAGCATTTGGCCACTTGGTCCTGGATGGGGATGAGCAGCCCATTGTCCCCACAGCACTGTCCCTGCAGGCTGGTGCCAGCATCACCCCTCTGCACAGTGCCAGTGCAGCCTCACGCCTCCTCGGCGGTGGCATCGATCCCCGCATAGGTGAAGTTCTCAAACAGGGCCATGTTCACGTAGGCCTGTGGGGGAACACCAGTTAGGAGCCATTTGTGACACTGCCCCCATCTACCTCCCATCCCCACTGGCACACTCACAGGCACTGTGCCCTGGGGCGGAGGCAAGAGGTCTCCCCACACCCAAAAAGTGATACTGGGGTTACCACCACACATGGTGAGTGTCACACAGGTTCTGCCGCTGGCTGTCCCCTCCTCAAGCCCAAGGGGTGCTCCAGCATGTGGACAAGCCCAGCACAGAATGGGCATCTGCCACCACTCACCTTCCTGGCCTCCAGCATGCGGATGAGCTGCATGGAGATCTGGGCAAAGGGTGGGCGCTCATAGGGGCGGTCGCGCCAGCACTGCCGCATCAGCTCGTACCTGGGGGCAGAGAGTTGTGGGCGGCTCAGTGTGCCCACGGGGAGAGGGGAAAGAAAAGCTCTTTGTGGGAGATGGGGGGAAGCAGGTGGAAAACTAAAGCCCGGGAAGGGCATTTGGTATGTGAGACCCCAGCTCGTCACACAATGCAGAGGGAACCAGGCAGAAGCTACTGCAAGGTGGTGGGAGCCCTGTGGGGCAGTGGGGTCAGGGGGACATGGGTGCTGCCATCAGCTGAGGCTTTGCCCACTTACACCTCGTCGTCGCAGTTACGCGGCTTCTCCATGCGGTAGCCCTGGGGCAGCTTCTCGTAGAGCTCGGCACATGTCATCCCGCAGTACGGTGTCCCCCCTGCAGCCAGAGACACACAGCTGAGCTGGGGACGGTCCCCAGGGTGTCCCCTCCAGGGCTCCAGGAGGACCAGACCTACAGGGACCCGAGTGGAGGCAGGGGACACAGAGAAGTCTTACCCAAGCTGACAATCTCCCAGAGCAGGACGCCGAATGACCACCTGAAAGGGCAGATGAGGCTGTGACAGTGCCCAGTCGAGCCCTGCTGATGGGCACGGGACAAAGCCCAGGGTGGAATGGACAGCCAGGGCTTGGGCTGAGCCAGCAGCACCCCAGGGAGATGCATCAGCACCACCTCCTGCCTTTGCAGCACCCAGAGCAATAGCATTGCCACACTGACTGTGCCAAGGAGGGCAGGAGGCAGCCCCAGCCATGCCCCAGCCCTGGTGCCCCTGCCTGCAGGACTTACACATCACTCTTGGTGGTGTACACGCTGTAGTTCAGGGACTCAATGGCCATCCAGCGAACTGGCAAACGGCCCTGGGGAAGCAGAGAGAGACTGTCAGGGGTGGGGGATGCCCTGTGGATGGAGGGCAGTTGGTCCCAGAAGGGTAGGTCCTTCACACTGGTGGTGGGTGTCCTGCCCACTATATTGGTGCAGACCCCATGGAGATGCTTCACTCCTGCCTCACCATTGTCTTCTTTACATAGACCTCCTCCCCTCTGGAGAGGCCAAAGTCAGCAATCTTGGAGGCCAGGTTTTCTCCCACCAGGATGTTTCTTGCTGCCAGGTCCCTGTGAATGAACTGAAAGGGGCCAGCAGTCAGCAGGAGCCACATGCTCCCTCCTGCTGGCCCCAGGGACCTCATGCCCCCTTGGGGAGCCCCCGGGTGCAGGGGAAGGATGCTCTGAAGAGCTTGCTGGGGATGTACCTGCTTCTCACTCAGGTATTGCATCCCCTTAGCCACATCTGAAGCAAACTGGAGGAGCTGCTGGGAGGTGAGTGTGGAGGCTGTGCCGTGCTCCTTGGCAAAGGCTGGGTCTGTCTCCAAGACTCGGCTTTTGCGGAGGAAGTCGAGGAGGTTTCCGTAGGGAGCGTACTCAATGGCGATGTACAGGTAGCCTGGGGGGCAGGAGGAGTTGGGCTACTGGGGCTCTCCCCAGAAAAGAGGAATACAGAGCTGGGCAGAGGCTGTGGGGCTGGGGAGAGTGGGATAGCCCTCACCCTTGTTCTCGCAGGCACCCAGCAAGTTGATGATGTTGGGGTGATGGCCCAGTTTGCACAGCACCTCCAGCTCCCCAGCAAAGTCCCGATGGTCATTCTCTGAAGCAAACTCTGGAAGCAAAGAAGGGATGGACACCTCAGGCCTACAAGTGCCCTTCCTCTGCTTCTCTGCAAGTGACTCCTGACTCTACTCAGCACAAATATGGCCCAGGATGCACCTTCATCCCTCAGCCCATCCTGCTTGTCTCCCCTGACACTCACCTTTCAGCATCTTGATGGCTGCATTCATTTTCAGGCCGTCCTTTTTGATCATGGCCCTGATCACCTGCCCAAAGTTGCCCTCTCCAATCATGTCCTCAAACTTGATGTCTTCCCACTCCAGGATGGGGTAGCTGAGGGGCTCAGGCTGTGGCTTGGGCCGGCGTGTCAAGGTCAGGGTCCCTGAGTTGAACTGCAGGATGGTCTCTTCCCCCTGGCAGATGGGAATGGGTGAGGTTAGAGGCACTGGGCACCCCTCTGCCCATGTGGCAGTCCCAGCAGGGCAGGAGTCGTGGGCAAGGGTGGGCTCCGCACCCTCTCTGTGTGGAAGTGAGGTCTGGCTGCATCCGGACTGGAGGCTACGGAGCGTGGCCTGG